CTCACATAGCACTAGGTATATTATGTAGAGATTTCATTCGCTGTTGGCGTGATATGTACAGCAGTATTATATAGAAAGATGATCGATTGTCCACCGAGTATGTGGCACACTGCCAACCTGGCTCTCTTTTTACAAAGTACCACCACACAGTGATGTTCCGCTTGGTGAGACACGGGGTCGGTTATAAAACTTAATGCAAGGGGACACCTGGGACTTAGATACAGAAATAGGAAGAAAACAAGTCATTTCCACGTTAAGTGAGATATTGAAACGAAGGCCTGTTTTGTTGTGAATTAATGTAAGGTCTACGATGTAAACGTGCACATTGTTCATGCTGATGGAGACAGTGGTGTCCGTCTGACCCTCTAATACCAGTGAAATGACAGACCTTAATATCCACCAGAAACATACCATGTCACATCTACACCATTTAACGGTGAAAATGTCTCCATTACCGCCATGGAAACAAATGATATTGAGCGTGTCTGCTTATTGCCTCGTTATACTGTAGACTAGCCTGAATAATTCAGTTTATTTCTTCCGGTGCTAGCATTTGGTTCAACTTGTACGTGGCAGATATGCGGGCACCGACCCAAACATCTCCCCCATATGAAAACATACTTCAATATATGAAAATGTAAACGATCGAAAATGATTGCGCAATGGATTTACGTGTGAGTACAGTTCTATATACGGAGCATGCCGCACTCAATAGACTTAACTAGGCGCATTGACCGTCCTGATACTCGGTGGCTATTCTGTATTAATACAGCTATAACCACAAAACGAGAGAGCAATATGAACATGCATATACTAAAACGATAGTAGCACTTTTTTCAACCCGTTCAGCACTTAATGACATGCGGCGTTTTGCTTTGGAGGTGTGCCAACTTCGCGTCATCCTATTGGTGGACAAGTATGTAAATTTCATTCATTCTGTAATGTTTCCCGCTTTCAGATGGCAGTGTCTGTGTACATACATAATGTAGCCTCAGCTGTGCGCCGCCTAAATGTGTGCCATGGCGTGGGCGGCATAAATACGGGAATGTTGAATATAATATAAAGGCGCTGTACGTACATATTATTGTCTGAAATATTTTTGTAAAATGTCTTCATAGGTTGCCTGCATTAATATATGAAGGATTTATTACATCCATTTAAATTAACAAAATTGTACCACCAACTGCAAAAAGTTAGGCAGTGTCAATGTCACCTGGCACTCGACTGGAGACAAGCTCAGAAAAGTGCTCTTAAAACGCATATTAGAACACACAGACATGGTCGGCTAGCTGAAGAGTATTCCAGAGACTCCAGGACGCGTTAGGTGTAGCATGTCGCGCTTAAAGCCTGTATAGGAACCATCTAATAATCGTTCTTGCTACATTTTATGGAAGGAAATCCTTAAAGACAAATTTTGTTGAACCCACTTGTATTTGAGTTCACGTTGCCGTGTTGATATGGCCTTAAAACGTTATACCCCTGTATGATGAACTGAAACATAAAGAGGTTCGGGATAATCATTCCACGTCAGGTTAATAACTGCATTAATAATATTTATGTGACCAAAGTCACCACAGAAGCTTGATTTGTGTAGCTGTAGGTGAAATGAGTTCAATGTGGCTCAAGGTTATAATATACGTGATGGACCTCATCTTTACCATAACTAGCACATCAATACCGATGTGAATATATCTGCATTGACCCCGTATATACTGTACATGATATTCACGTACTGCCCAGTTGTATGTTAGTGTTAGCCTGTGCATTTAAAACTGAAAGATCAGATCCAAAATGGTTTGAAAAATATCCAAAAAGAACTTTACTAACTTTTTTCCCTTTTTTAAATTTGTTTATCAATTGTTTCTATCTTCTACCATTTAATTATATATTTCTTTCTTTTTATTTATTTATTTAATTTTTACTGACACTAAGAAGTAAGAAGGTTGGTTCGCTTGACTTATGCAGTGCTACACGACCCCAGTGTCTACTGCATATGGTTGAGACTGGTGGCGTAGGTCTGCTATGGCATAGAATTAATCCATAACAAGATAAATACCCGTGCACTACGACATATATGATATATACATCACATATGAAAAAAAAAACAATTGTTTGACGACCACAGACAGTTACAAGAATTCGAGTCGTGACAGAAAACCATCTAGTTATTGTTTATGACCCTGGTAACCACTGCACAGTGCATACGACATGTATGACCACCATCTAACACTACTTGTGGCTAGTCCACACTGAGCTCCTGATGGCGAGTAGTTAACCTGGTACACAGTAACCACGTAGAACATCCACCACATCTGGTCACCACAGACCGGGGACCTGGACACTTTGATGTGGCTTCTATGGACTAGACGATAGTTGCTGACGTCCAGCGAGGACGGTCTTATGACGGCTATTACAATGCGATTTCTCCTTGGTGTATGGAATTGAAACAGAAAGGCATTTTCGATTTTGAACTGCTGTTACCTTAGAGGGAATGTGATTATTTAAATGATAAAGGAAAGCATTAATACTGAAAACAGTCATATGTCGTTGTGTGCATGTAACGTTAAATGTAGTCTTTGTTTTTTATAAGCCTCATTTTCCACATACATGTCGCATTTTGTAAACAAAGCTGACATTTTTTTTGTAGCACATTGTTTCGTCCCCAGTGCAAATCTTTCACGTTGAAACAGAACTCCACAAATTTCAACTGTTTACTCAATCTCAGTATTTCTGGGGAATAGTTCAGTTCGCGGCCACATTAAGATTCTTTTTTTACGCAAGAAACTAAAATATTTTTGCAGAATGTCAACAAACCGTCATCGTGACGATTGTAAGAGCGTTCGATCTACGCGATTTCTTAAAAAATGTAATTTATTTATCAACAAGACTTTGACGTCTTACTTTGGCACTGCTTTCTGGTCATAATTTGAACGTCAATCAGATGGGAGCGGTGCTTCCCGGTAAACAGTCAACAGCGAGGAGTGACCTCAGTGAAATTGCTCCCGTAAAATCCTATAAACTGATCATCTGATCTTATATGATATGTAGTGTAATTAAAACACCTGGAAGTTTTAAAACCCTAACATTATATTAATATCAGAAAGACGCAAACTGTCAATTAAGCCACCTTAGACTGAAAACGGGAACAGTTAAGGAAGAACCGGAAATGTGTATTCCTTTTTTGGCGTTAATGACAAGAGCACCTTGAATTACTCATAAAGTCGTCTGAAAGTCAAAAGGTAGATCATTCTGGGTGGTAACTTGCACGTCAGCTGCCATTCCTTGCTGTCTAAATTCAACCCCTCACTATGGGGAAGATTGCCCTCCACAGCGATATGTCTTATAATATCACCCAAAAACCATTTATATTCACTTCATATAACTGAGCCATTTTTAATCTCATTCAGTCGTGACAGGGATCCATTATCTAATATTTTTCTGACGGGTTGCTGCTATGGATTAAAACTGAACAATCACTTCAAAGTTAAATTGCGCATACTGAGAACATTTTATGTGGAGTGATAACCATAAAAAAGCGACAAGGGGAGGAGGGTCCTCTCAACCCCACCCCCTCGCTGCGGTTCCTGCCCTTATGACTGACGTGAAGAGCGGAGAAATGGCTGTAAATACTAATAGTTACAATGATACGTACATTATTTCAGTTAGTAACTACACACCAATTTGCCAGTTTTTCACAAAACGACTGAGTCAGGGAACTGAGCTCAATAGAGGTTACTCTAGCACCTTGTTCCCCGATAAAATTGTCTTGTACAGCTGTACAGATGATGTAATTCTTCGCTAAAGCACTCGTGGGTTTTTTAATGAAATCGCAGGAAAATGTCCTTTTTTGTGAGTTATAGCTCACAGCCCAGACAGAAATACTGAGATCTGCAAAGCCGGTTGAAATAAAATGTTTTGAACTTGTTCTCAGAGAAGCAATTTTCAGTTCAATTTTCACAAGACCCAGATTTTGACGTCTGACGTTTTTTTTGGGTTGTTGTTGTTGTTATTGTAAACCCGCCACAGGCGTCTGGTGATTATGCAAACTATTACAAAGCACAGGTAGCGGTGGGGTGCGAAGGTCGGTGTTCAGACGTATAAATCAAGAAACTACCGAAGAAGAGAACTTCTTGACTTGAGTGTCATTCACACAAGCCCCTTTCCACTGCTGTTCAACTTAAAGCTCGATCTGTTCTGATATTAAACAGGGTTAAAGCCTCAGAATGTCGTAAGGGATACTGAATGCGTTATAAGAAGTGACGTCACATGATTACACATCTCTGGAGTTTTGCAATCATCTAGCATAACCAATGCTGATCGATCTGACTTCATCGTATATCTAGTGTGTAGCCCTGGTGCACAGCTTGTATCGTGTAAATCGGCCTACTCGCTGTGTTGTCGTTCTTTGACTTCGACCTAGACAGTGAACAGGTAGTGCCTATTCATCTTATTCCGCTTGCCGGGATTCATCAATGACATATAGTGAAAAAGCATCTATTCATCTACTTGGGGGACGAAACACACGTAAAAAGGGCTTGTCTCGGCCTCAGTAATGAGACTATCGAGTTCCACAAATGGCGTTGTTCATTTAAAAGTCAAGTTTTATAGTAATATGAAGAACGTTTTGGTTATGATGAGATAACAATTACTAAAGCCTATCGTCACATTCTGCCACATTCTATTATATGTCGTCCAATTCAAGGATAATAAGCTTTGAATTGACTCAGTTCATGTGTAGACTCCACACACCCCAATGTTTCCTAATAAGTGATATCGCCAAGCCTATGACATCGGTGAGAGACCAGGATATCAAAAGTGTGCTATAGTATGACTGAAGGTTAAGACGGGGTACTGTTGTGCAATTACTACATTTCGGACAGCTCCCTCCGTGCAAACTCATATTTCACGTCTTTAATGAAAGAAAGAATTGCGTCCTTCTACCATCTTTTTAATTCCGCCAGGAGATCAACTGTTAATATTTCCACATTTTTCTGTTCCAGGGTCGTGTTACTGTCCCGCTGGTAGTGACGGCGTTTGCCGCTGTGATCGGCGGCTCCTTTCCCCATGGTTACAACACAGGTGTGCTCAACGCTCCCCAAGATGTAAGTTGATGCTGCTGTTTTTCACCTTGGTCAGGTGGTTCACGTAACCTTGATAAATGTAGCATTATTGAGACTGACCGGCGCTACTGTTATGAACGCTGAAAACGCTTCTTCAAGTTGCGCACAGCGAATCAGGCGATTTGAGAATTATTTCTTTTTGTATCACGCTGAGTTACCTGTTTTTACAGTATTACCAAGTCTGATAAGCCAAAATAAAATTCCTACAGCAAGTGCATTAATCCAAAAAAGACTGAAATAAATTGTAACGCTTACATGTAGTATGCAAGATTTTCGACTTAATGCCGTCATTTTACACAGAAGAGGTTCAATAAATATATTTAATTGAACAATGTGTCCTGTATCTCATTTACGAAATATTTTCTCAGCAGTCTACATCCTTTCTCTTTATTTCAGTTAATTATCCAGTTTCTTAACGACACGTATCTAATCCGTACTGGCAATGAACCTGGCAAAGGCATGCTCAACTTTGTCTGGTCGTTCACCGTGGCTATCTACCTGGTCGGCGGCATGTTCGGCGCCTTCAGCGCAGGCTGGTTCGCTGACAGATTTGGGAGGTAGGGTTATAACAGAATAGGGGGAGGGGGACGACAGTGAAATGAGAGAAATAAACTTATATTGAAATATAAGAACGGCCAATAACAGTGGTTAACATGTGTCACTGGTTTTGCGTGTAGCACACGCCTGTGGTCACCACCAGGCGACCAGGCGCCAGGGGGAGTGGTGAAACTGCCACCACCCCCTTCTTTGTAAACTGGGGAATGAGATTAATCAGTTCGTCATTGATCACATGGAACAAGCCTTTTATTCAACAGTTCAGTAAAGAGAATGTCTAAGGAGAACTATATATATTGTGGAATGTCAATTTGTTGTATAGTTCAGTTTTTAAATAACAGTAAATCCCTCTCTTTTTCAGGAAAAAGGCCATCATCATCATGTACATTCCCACCTTCGTAGCCGCTATTTTGTTTGGTCTCTGCGATGTAGCGGAATCGTTTGAGATGTTAATAATTGCTAGGTTTATAGTCGGCTTTGGTTGCGGTAAGTCCTTCATACTCGGCTCGACGCACACTGTGAGATAGTAGCTGAGGTACCGCCTGACGATGTTTGGGCCATCAGTTCAACATGTACGTTGGGGTCAGATTCAAGACGTAGTGAATTATTCACTCGTGTTCTATGTGACAAACTCTCCAAAGATGAGGGAGGAGTTCAAACACCGAGGTTGTGAGGCCGGGGTTTCAGTCTGCTAGATCACAGTGTGTATCGGGCTTAAAGCGCTATCTGAAAGTGCTCTACAAGTAATGTAACCATCGGCCTTGTTAAAGTAAGCAATGGGGACCCTCTTTAGGATACAATGCCCGCTGATGGCATTTTAAATAACCTTTGTCAAATAGCAACGCACAATGCATTGAGTCACTGCCTCTCTCACCCTCTCTCAAGTACATACAAACAGACATACTATAATACATACTATAATACATACTATAATACATACTACTCTCCAGTATAAGTCAAAATAAAGTTAACTTCATCACTCATTTATAGGAATATTCTGCCTATCATAGGTTATATACTCTCTTCGTTTCCGTGGTTTTAGGTCAGTAAGACGACATTTAATAGAATAACTAATCATTAATACTGAATAATGCACTGTTTACCTTCCAACACTCCATAACCCTCTGTCTTGTCTCCCTGCAGGTGCCGGCTCTGGGCTGGTCCCCATGTACATGACGGAGATTGCCCCGGTGAACATCCGTGGCGCTATGGGAGTGCTCCATCAGCTGGCCCTCACCACGGGAATCCTGGTCTCTCAGATCTTTGGACTACGGCAGATACTGGGTAAAAACACTTTGTCATTGTGAATACTGTATGATACAAATTGTTTTTCAAAAGTCCAAGAAATTCTCTTTAGCATGTAATTTTTCAGTTAGTGAATGATGTAAATAAGCTTCAAATTTTGTAGTATATATTCAATTTACGCAAAAAAAAAGTCAACAAAAAGTCTATTCTATCATAGAAATTGCCGTTTAGAAATTGCATATGTGTTCTTATATTTTTCAACATTGAAACGAAATGCATAAAGCAAACTCGATGTATGGTTTGAGATGCCGAAACATCATACACTTGTATTTTAGCAGTTAAACTTCAAAATTTACGTTGTTGTTGTTGTTGATCATGTAGGTAACGAAAATTGGCCCATTTTATTGGCGTTCGTTGGCGTCCCGTGTCTGATCTCCGCATTCATCCTGCCGTGGTTCCCAGACAGTCCCAGGTACACGCTGATTAAACTGAAGAAGGAAAAAGAGGCACAGGAAGGTACATCTTCCCTTTCTATCTGACGTCTCAGTAGTAGAAAATTTGGTATGATTAAAACATAATTGATACAAAGAAAAAGTCAGCGAAAAATATCGGTAAATGTTCAGCGTGCCAAGTGTGTAACTATAAGCCTAAGTGCAAACAGTAATTAAGATGTTCTGCGTATCTTCATAATAATAGCAGTCTATACCAATAGTGAATATACGAGTATACATGTATATACACGATATACGTTCAATTTCTACAGTCATTGTCCATTCATTGTCCACTTCAGTGTTATTTATAAAGTAGCGCTCTATATTTATATAAAATATCTATCATACGCGTGCCAGTTACCCCCCATTATGTACAAGGTATGTCACCTGTGACCTCCTCCTTGT